TAGATGAGTATGAGTGTGATGCAGATTATCTCTATGAATTTTTTAATATTTTAGTTGTTGATATCGCCACTTGAAGCTAATTGCAGGTCAATGAGACTTTCTGTTAGGGAGAGATGCGTTATCTTTTCCTCAGTCTTTAAGGGGTAGAATCCTCTACGTACAAGTTCGATGTAATTCTTGTGTAGCTTTATAACTGAATTATTAATACAGTCATTATCAGATTTAAATGTTGGTGTTAGTATGTGAAACACTTTTAGTTGTGTGAGTGAGTATATCTATGGCAGTTCGGGTATACCTTTGGAATGTGCATGTTTCTGCTGTTTTCACGGAGGTCTCACGAGGTTGAGTCAGATATTCTATACAATTCCGAGACAATGTATATAATTAAGGGAAGGAAACATTTTTATACAGCCCCTCCCGATGATAGAAGTAGTTTCCTTTCCTCTAACTTTTAAAAGAAAATTCAGCCGAAATTAATCACAATGACGAGTCATTATGAATATTTCCTAAACAGACTCAGAAGTGCATACATTCCCTAGGTATTGTATAGAATACCTGAATTATACAGATTGCCGGTAACATACATGCATTCATCTGAATTTGTATACGAAATATGTCGTCATAATAAGATTTCGTTCAATTTAAACAAAAAGCTTCTCTTTTGTAAAACCTAGATGCGTGTGAGGTGCATCGCTACGTATTAATTAATATTATCGGGTGTTCGAACCTGGGCTGAGGTAAGAATTTTTCATCTGTGACAGAGATGGGAATTTCCTTAGATCAGTTTCGAGGATTTTGCCGGCTACTCCGAATTAGGTTTTCTTGCAGTTGCAGTTTTCCTAATTCGTAAGGTAAATTCCGGAGTAGTCTAGAACAACTTAAGACCTTCTGCAAGGGAGAATAAATAAATAAATATATTCAGTGACCATTTTAATAAGTCTATAATCGAAGAGCTCCTGGCGACCACACACAGAGTGAGCCAGAATGGTCAAAAATAGATGTTTCGAAATAGCCCATACGAACAGTTTACGTAAAAGAAAATCAATTAAAGATGAAACTAATCTTGGTGGCTTCACTCCAACAATGGGACAATGGTACGAAATTGATAGAAATGGATAGAAGACACCTTAATAACACGTTTTCAATTAAAAAATTTGCGGGAGAAGTCCTAAATTTTTGACAATCTTAATTAAAAGTTCAATTCATTTCGTAGAAAGTGAGCTTATATTACTCCAAATTTCATGATTGTTTTTCAGTTGATAGTGGTGTTGTTAACATCCCTGAATGTTATTTTTTCACGATTTAATAAACGTTAAACAAAGATATACAACTATTAACATATGGTTTTAATTATACCATAATAGCAATAAGTAGTGCTCTACATGAGATATTCCTTGCCCTCTCGACTGTATAAGGCGGTGGATGCTAAGCAGCGATTCATAAGGAAAAGGCGTTCCAGGTTAATCGATGATCGCTAACGTAGAGGCGATCCGTGGAAAATGCGAGAGATATTCCTTCCCTTCTCGACCGTATAAGGGGGTGGATCCTAATTGGTATATCAAACATGCAGGAAGTGCTCGGATTTCCCCTCTCAGTGATCGATACAGAGAAGTTGATCTTTGTCAAATGCTATATGTAACCGTCTCTACGACATTCCTCTCCCCTAATGCATTCAAGGGGTTACACTGTATAGGCTACAAAAAGTGGTGTTATTAAATTGTATCCACAAGTTATTTGGTGTCATCGAAGTCGAACAAAACCTACAATTGTATTGTATATTATACCTGTTATACTACTTTTATTGCATTAAGTGTTAGTATACACGTTAAACCAAGCATATTTCAATTTAGTAGACGAAGTTAACAAAACCTCCTACAAAAATTAATTGTCACCTTTGTATAAATTTAATAAAGAAAGCTGTCACATAACATTTTTCAGTTTCGCCAACTTACAAATGACGAAATAAACGTAAAATAACACCAGATTTCAAGAAAATGAAATGAACTTTTAATTAAGATTGTGGAAAATTTAGGGCTTCTTCCGCAAATTTTTTAGTTGAAAACGTGATATTAAGGTGCTCTTTATCCATTTCTATCAATTTCATGATACCATACCTGGGGGGCTTATTAGCGTCACTTATCAGGACAGATTTCATAGGCGCTAGGGAATGCTTAAACGAACTATGCAAATTAATCTTCTCTCAAGGATATAATGATGCTGTCTGAAATGAACTATCAAACCGGAAATTCAGTAGAAATTGATACCGCCCTTGGCACCACGTATGGATGGGTTGTAGGAAGCAAACGTGCGATTTGTAAAAACCTACCGTACACAATCACTCACCAACTCAATTACTCTATTAGTCCAAATGTAATCGCCCTGTATGTGTTCTTAGTTCTGATCCGTCTGAACCCACCATTTTGACCCCAATGCATTTTTGAACCTTAGGCCATTGGACTCAATTTCCGGCACACGACTATAGTGTTATTAATATTAGTAGACTAGATCAGTTTCAACTCATCGATCGTATGAGATACGATTTTTGGAAAATATGGAAATTAGAATATATCTACAAGCACGATCGAATGAAATACCAATCGCAACCTCGTATAAATTGGAACCATTATTATTATTATCGGTGTTTCTTGTGAGAACTCAGGTCTAGCCTGGTTAACTAATCGCACGGATTAAAATCAAGTAACGATTAGTGTCTGTGTCTGTGTCTAGTGCAGTTATGTAGGGTTCTAAAGAAAAATAAAAATTAAAAAATAAAATAAATATTCGCACACTCACAATGGAAATCTAGGGATAGTATGTAATTCATACTTACCAACATAGCTATTAATGGCCACAATAGTCAACGCTATCAGGAAAGAAGAAAACAAAACAAAAATATCATTATAATAATTCCTGTACTTTTATTAAATAGAGTTTATTGTGTAAGTGTTTCTTTGGCTTTGCGTTTGGGTTGTATACGAGTGGGTTGTGATAACGTGGTGTGTTTATGTGAAGAAGGAGTTTTGTGTTTTTTAACTGTGCTAGGACGTGTAACTTTATTGGGTGGACCTGTCTTTGTAGTGCAAGTTGCGTTACTTGTATTTATGGTGTTTATTTGTTCTAGAGGTTGTGTTTGTGTTGTTGCTTGCATTATTGGTGGAGACATTACGGTATTTTGTGAGCCTCTAGTGCTGTTAAGGTTGCTGCGTTTGCGTTGAGTACGAGTGGGTTGTGATAACGTGGTGTGTTTCTGAGAGGAAAGAGTATTGTGTTTTTTAGCTGTGCTAGGCCGTGTAACTTTATTGGGTGAGGGCGTCTTTGTAGTGCATGTTGCGTTACTTGTATTTATTGCGTTTGTTTGTTCAGGAAGTTGTGTTTGTGTGGTTGGTTGAGTTAAGGGTGGAGATATTACAGTATGTTGTGTGTCATGTTGTGAGTCTAAAGTGCTGTTTAGGCTTTTGCGTTTGGGTTGAATACTAATGGGTTGTGATAATGTGGTTTGCTTCAGAGGTGAATCTCTGAATGTAGTATATGTTGTATCATTTGTTGTACTTGTTTGTTCGGTAAGTTGTATTTGTGTGTTTGTTTGGGTTAGAGGTGGAGATATTACAGTATGTTGTGTACCGTGTTGTGAGGGAGTGCTGTTGTTATTATTATTATTATTATTATATCAAAAATATTATACAGTCTATGCTCGTATTCGGTTTTCTTACTTCCAAAAAAGATAATCTGAGAGATATTTGGAGTGAAAAAGACAACATCTCTGGTCTCGTCGGCAATCGATCTTGAAAAATTGCCATTGTGCAGCTTGTATACAGGGGTGGAACCAAAGTTCTGACGCTCAAACCGTTTAAGATATAGGCATGAAAAATAGAACGCTGTCATTTGAAATTATTTCGAACACTTGACACGTGGTTTTTGAGTGCCACCCCCATCTTGAATTTTTTGAAATGGCAATTTAGGTTATGTGATACGTCATTCGAAAGCTTTTTTTTCTTTCTTACTACCTTAATCATGAGCGGTGGAGAAAATGGTCCATATTTCACAAAAAATGTGAAATAATTTCAAAAGGAGGCGTTATAATTTTCACGGCCACGGTCATCCCGGCGATTCCCTTCTCAGCGATGACCATCCCGGGATCGATTTCTCGGCGACCATTTACTTCCCGGCTTCGGTGACCCCGGCGATTTAAACCCGGCTATAGACATTGGGCAATCCTGGCTTCGGTCGTCCCGGCAATTTGAACTTTGAGGTCGGGGGGATGGAAAACATTTAAGACGCGGTAAACATATGAAGTTTATTATATTGAAACAATTTACGGGAATTAAGTTCTGTTATTTGTTACGGTATAGGGTGTCTAGATATAATACAATCTGAATAGGGACTATAGTATCAAATTACATTATTCCATTTAAATAGTGGTAAAGTTTTCTGGTATATACCTGCGTAGGTAGACGGTAAAACGCAATTTAAAAAAATGCGTCCTTCGCACCCCTGGCAATTGTGTAAACAAGACGGCTTATTTGAGCTTCCTTGGATATTTCAACCATAACAACCACTTTCGGTACCTACCTAATTTGACAACGGCTTCTAAAGTATATGATTGTTTATGTCAAAAAAAAAGAAAAATGGGGTTGAACACACGTCGTTAGGAAAGTGTGCATTGCCGTGATAATCGATGCCGGGAAAGTAATAGTCGACGGAATAGGTCGTCGCCGGGTATAAATCGCTGGGATGACCGATGCCGGGATAGTAATGGTCGTCGGGATGGGTTGTCGCCGGGATGTACATCGCCGAAATGGGATGCACTGTAATTTTCATGTCTATATATGCGTGAGAGCTTTCGTTCCATCTTTAATAGCGACCCTGTATACAACAAATGCAAAGGCATTCTCATCAAAAAACGTAAAAGAGGTCACATTTAACATGAGTATCATATTTTGCATGTATATTTACGTAGATGTCGATTGCTATCGTTCATAACTCTTTTCTTTTGTTTTCAGTGATCGTCTCTGGTTTCGAGCCGGATTTCCTATACCCTCTGGAGAATGTAACAGTCGCCCAAGGACGTGACGCTACCTTCACCTGTGTTGTAAATAATCTGGGGGGATACAGGGTGAGTGGGGAGCCCACAACCGCCAGGGTGTGTATCAATTCATTTTTCTCAATCTGCACCCATCGCGGAAGGGTTTGGTAGCAAGTTGACCGTCGAAAGTATTTGACGGTCAGGCTGCACCAACCTATCCGATGCACCGAGCACCACTTTCTGCACCAGCACAGCACGGAGCCCAAGAAGCTTCCCTATGGGCACGTAAGGGTGGGGTTATTAGATTGCGTTTGAAAAAAAACGAAGGGGGCAATTAATACATGGGTGGTTCACGCACGACAATTTGTTTTCGGAATCGGACCGAATAAGACGTCTCACTTGTAGGAACAATGAACAGATTATACGAAATCAGCAGCAATACTCAAGCTAAGTGTCCTGCAGGAGGCCAACCCTTCCACTCTGTTCTTAATACAGACATTTGTAGGGAGTATTATGCGAGCTATTGTTTTAACCGTCGCGCTGTCGAGGTCGTGTAATCCTCCTGCTTCAACAGCTAATGAAATATGCAATTGTGCTCATCTCGCACAATAGGAGGTTCGCAGAAGTAGACGAGGTCGGATCTTCGAGGACGCTGCTCACTCAGATGTAAATAATTTCAATTCACTTTTTACCGTACACGAGTCATCGAGTGTGATTCTATCTGGGTAGGGATATCGGGCCTGAATGTGACATTTCAGAGTCGCTACTAGCGAATCATCAACCTTTACTTTTCACATTTAAATAAGCAAAACTTTTACCTCCTTTTTCCATACTTTATGCACCCTTAATTGATTTAATCGGATTTTTGAGCGCTAATTGAATGCTTGAAAACAAGAAGGGGGAAAACTTGCGCCCCGAGGCGAAAATGTATAAAAATATTTACTTCCGTTTTTCATTTATAAAGCCCAACGTTATTTAACTTGTTGCTTGCCTTTTCAAACCACTCATCTCAACAGAACTTCCACGATAACTGAAAACTCGAAGAAATTTAAACTTAAGACTGACATTTAAAAAGGCTGTCGTAATGAAAAATCTATACAAATCCTATACAGATGCGCTATATGTATCGGTGGAAAGCGACGCCATACGTGTCAATGCATTAGCAAATCAAACCTAAGTGTGCTTATGAAGGGTGGATGTATATCAATTTTGAAGGAGGGTTGAAGAGTGAATCTTGAGCGTAATATATAATCGCCATCGAAGTTGGAAAACAAATAAAGCCCAATTTCGTTGTGCGAGCGTAATTATTTGTATTTTATTGGTTTAATGGAGATAATTGGCAACAAGTTTACGGTACCTTTTCGCGCCTTTCCGCAAAAAGTTTTAACCTCCAACCCTTATCTTCTAATCGTTGAAATCACAACATTAAGTACGCCATAGCTAAGCTTCGAAAAGTGCAAAGTTTTGCTAAGAGCATCGAACTCTTGAAAAAAAGTAGTGGGAAGTTCGATAGGACACCCAAATGGTGTCAATCTTCTTCAAAGGTAGAGGTCTCAAAAAGGGTCAAGGATTCCAAGTATTTCAAAATCTTCTTCCAGTGATGTTTTCAACGCTTCTACTGAGTATTCTAGCGTAACAGTTTCGGCCCTTCTTTCCGCCAAGCATTTTTGTAGGTATTTTCTAGAATTGAATACGCAATCTTAGGCTCAGAAAGTACCATGGAAGACACTTAAACTTTAGAGGGCGCTAGAAAACTCTGAAATGCCTACAGCTTTCAATCACTTTCCTAAGCTAGCGCGTTTTTTGCAAAACGTAAATGAGAGCATGAGAGAGAAAGCTCTGGAAAGCACTTTCAGTGAAAGACTTGTGTAAGCTTAGGTTTTCCAGTACCTTTTAGGCCACTTCTAGAGCGCTCTTAATAGAATGGCGCGTTACTGATTGTTAAGAAGCTAACTTTCCACTAAGTTCTATCCATCCCCATTCATTTAAAGGACTCCAAATAGTTTCTTGTGATACTAGGAGCGGCACACTGTTTCAAGGGATGTTTTCGTATGTTTGGTGCTACTTCCTCCATTTTTTTGGAGACGCTATATTTGTGTTTAAAGAACTCACACGGTTTAAAATTTTTTTCAAATTTTCTTTTTATGAATGGATGGAAATCGGAAATTACATACTCAAAGCCATCCCTTGTATAAGATTTCCTTTTTTTAAGCGAAGAAAATTATTGTTTTACGCTGGAAAATGTAACGGGTCAATGTTGTAAATCGTAAACAAAGGTACAACTTACCCTCAACTCACGCTAAAGAAATGTGCGCATCCCTAAAAAACGTGTCTTTGGCACATTTTTTCCAACTCGTCACACTGAAGGGAAACACCTCCAGATACCAAACATGTTTATTACTGCAACCAAAATATCCTTTCCAATAACAAATTCTTCTATATCTCTAAATTAATTCTGGAAAATCACATCATGCAAGAGCGTGAGGTCATTTCAATTATGTTGTTAGGTCCCGTGGGCGTAGTTTATACTCAAGTGCCCTGCGCTGCTCACATATGGTGGTTGAAAAACAGCGAAACATGAATTTGTTATTTTAAATTTATCATTTGGCTTCAAATATATAGTAAACAAATAAACGGAATCATAAAGTAAACAACGTAACCAAAATGCCAACTGTAAAACAAAATTTAGACGTTTGCGCTTTTGGAAGGGCCATGTCTCACCACCCACTCTGGATCAGTGCTTGGAGGAGGAGGAGGAATGTGTAGAGTTGGGTCATCTGCATCCTCGTCTTCCTCGTGCATACGATAGAGCACTTGAACCGTGTCACACCCACTGATGGCACGCAGGAAAAGAACCATCCCTAGTGTAATCTAAATTTCTCCACATGTCAAGGAATTTGCTGGATATTGAGTGCACCGTGATCCACCTATTCCGCCCTCCTGGGAAGTCCAGAGCTTAAACGGATAAGAACCAGTAAGTCAACATCCTCTCGAATGATAAAAACTTGATCTTAATGAGCTCTTGGGGAGGGTAGTCTATGTCAACATCGGCATCTTCTTGAGATTGATGGGTCTCGATACCCTGCCTCTCAAATTCGGTAAGCATCATGGTGAGCAGTCAGCGTTTGTTATGCTCTGTGGCCTTTTCATGGACCTCATCAGTACTTCATGTGCTTTTCCAGGTCAATCATGTCTTGAAGGTAGACTCGGGCACTTTTTGCGTAAAGGAAATGTCCCACAGAATGAAATTCTAAGAAATGGTTCTAGTCTCCCATTCTCTCCGCTTGGATAAATTGCTTCATGAGAGCAGTTATCCAATAATATTGACAGTAACACCCAAGCTCGGATGTGGGCCAATATTTTCCAATGGTATTTTTTGCTCTTTTGGCACTCCATCAGTCATTTCAAGTTGTGCAGTAGGAGCGAGGGATATTTCTAAATGATGCTGTACAAAATTCGTCACCACTTATACAGAGGGGGTTTGGTGGATGAACACCAAAAATTCAAGATTGGTGAATAATAATAAAAGTAAGGGTGGGAATACGTTGGACACTAAGAAAATTGTCATTACTAAAGTTACAAAGCGCAAATCAAGAACTAACGAGCGCTTTCTGGTAGTTTGAAGTACCCATTTAGCGATTGGGATTACCTTCAGTTGCCAAATCGCTGGGTACCTCTTGCATGATCAACATAGTGAAAGGTGTTTTAGGAAATTCAAAGGTCTATCAATAAATAAATAAATTACTTCACATGAACTTTGGATTTCTAAGCACGTTTAGAGTAAAATGTACCTGCACTTTAGTAATTGCACATGCACATTGCACCTGGCATTTATATTGGACCTTCCAAGGAAGTGACAATTTGTAGTGCCATGTAGACGATAAAGGAGGTTACTTCTTTGGAAGGCTATTTATGTGTAAACTTTGTAATCTGAATTTCGAAGATGAGAGGAAAAATGTGTATCGTTAAATTGATTTCTCTTGTTGTTAATGTTAAGGTTTCTCGTGGAAATTAACAAGGGTGGAACAAAGAATCAAATTTTTTACGAAATGCTCTTGACACATAAAATCCGACGCCCAAAAACTATAATAAGTTTATTTTTCCGGTCCGAGGTCGTATTTTAGTTGCAAAATAACAGGAAAGAATTCTTTAGAACGTGACATTTTTATTTTTGAGCATTGCTTTCAGAAGATATATAAAGAAATGGCTATTATAATACTTCTTCAATATTACATTTCCTAAATATAGTGGGGAAATTACAGGTTTGCCATTATTCATTGTGTTTGTGTTGGTTTCCTGCTATACGCAGGTTCTATTTTGCCGTCTCCACTCTTCTCTATACATTGCCTTTCTTTTCCGCGTATCCTCTTCCATCTTTCAGATCGTCTACCATCTTCACTCTCCTTTTTCTCTGTGGCTTGTACCCCTAGGACTCCTTCGATCGTGTCCTAAGTAAACTATTACCTCTCTTAGCACCATGACTAAGCCACATTCTTTTCCTTCTGAAAATATTGTTCTAAACAAAGATTCTCCTTCTCCTATTCTTTGTAGTGCCTATTCGTTCCTAATCCTGTCAGACCACTATATTCCAAGCATTCTTTAGTTCTTTTCGTATCCTTTTTCAAAATTGTCAACGTTTCACATCCGTACAGCATAACAATTTTTCCCACAGATCATAATCAAATCAGAGTCTTCACGAAATCTTCAGGTCATTTCGCCGTTCCTTCATAACTTTTTCCTGAAGACACCTTAATATCTCTACTGAAATACCATCTATCTCCGTAGCTTACCTGATTCCCCCTATAATGCCAGGACAGACTAATTCTTCTGTTTCCAGTCCCAGATAACCTCTTTAATCCTGTTGTAAGTAATATCGTGCCTTCCTATACTATTAAGCTTTTCTATTTATTTTTTTTTAAATTTTTTTTAAGGCTTTCGGGATCTTGCCCATTTTAGCCTACATTAGAGAAACCAGAGGACTAAACAAGGATTTATACGTTTCACGCTTTGGGGCCGATCAAAGCGACTTCACACAAAACATAGGTAGACCACGGGTTACAATTACAACGGTAGTTTACTTGCAGCTACAAAACGGACTAAAATGTCATAAACTCCCTTATCGTTGGTACTTAGAATTGTTGGTACATCGAGAGGGTGTGTCAAACCCAGCTTGAGTAAGTCTTCCATCATGATATTCGTGTAATTTGTATTCTGCGGACAGGCGAGCACTAAATGATTCAAATCTGCTACCTCATAATTACAAAACGTGCACTGTGCCGAGGGAATCAAATTTATTCTGTGCAAATGCGCTGGAAATCTACCGTGCGCTGTTTTTAGCCTGACTATGCTTGATTGATAAAATCTGTTGGATTTGTAATTATAGTAACACGGATTGATTTTTATTAAGGGCATTATACGGGTATACTGCGTGGGTCTTCTAAGGCATCGCTCTCTTTCTATTTCATTACATTGATTTCCCCACCACCTTTTCTTAGCTTCATCAGTTTTTTTTTTCAACTCCGTATTTAGCCTCCGATATTGTCTTCTTTTTTCTTTGGTAAGGATCATTTCTTGATTTATCTAGGGTTTCTTTGATCTTATTCCTTTCTTATATCCAACTTTCTCTTCAGTTTTGGCTTTGATTATTTCTGTCTTGATTCTGTTCCACTTACACCCTACATCTTCCTCAACTTGTAGTGACTTTAGATTAATTAATTATTTCTTCATCTAACAGTTCCTCACTTCATCCTTGTCCATAAACGTTAATTTGTTCTTTTCGTGCTCTTTTCACGATTTTAAGCCTAATTCTGATGTTTGACATAAGTAGATCACTATAAATATCGGCGCCTGGTAACAGTTTGTGTATCTTTCTTGTACAAGTATGAAATCAATTTGCGTTTGGTCATGGTCTCTAGGAGATTTCTAGGCATAACAGTCTTCCCTTATGGTTACTAAACCATGTGTTGGTAACTACCACTTTTGTGTGTTTGCAGAAACCTACCGGCTACCAGTCTATCGCCTGTTTTTCCCAATCCATACATGCCAACCGCATTCCAATCTTTTCCAATTCCCACCACTGCATTCCAGCCGCCCCATACGATTTTATAAGAACCACCCACTTCCTCGATTATATTTTCTATCATTCTGTACACTCCTACTTCCTCATCATCATGAGCAATGGTTGGCATGTACACGTCTTGAATCACTAACATATCCCTTAGCACAGGGTTAAACTGTAGAGCCATCACTCTATCACAGCCATAAATCACTTTGCTTACACACCTGGAAAGTTTTTCCTGGCTATAAATCTTACTCCGGTTTCCCCTTTTTTTACCACTGTAAAAAAACTTTCCATCACCAGAGTTTTCCTGACCCAGTCCCTCCTCCCTTGTTTTACTTACTCCAATCAAATCTGTTTTTATTAATTTCTCTGTAGATTTTCAAGGTTTTCCTCCTTCAATAGACTTTTGACGTTCCAAGTTCCCATCCTTATTTTCTCCTTTTCCTTATCCTTATTGTTTTTCTTCCTTCGGAAAATTATTCGAAGAATCCATATTTCCTTCCATCTTTCTCTTGTACTTCTCAAGGGATACCGTGAGCTCTTTAGCGGAGTGGTTTCCTCAGACGTTCTCTATCGTTACGCCGTTGATCCCGAAGAATTATTCCGCCTTTGACCTTTGGCCTTTCTCACTTCTTGGACAACAGGGTGTCCACCTGTACCCACTCATCCGCCCTCTCATAGACCGTTGGCACTTGGTACAGGCTTGACTTCTTATCCCGGAAGTTCCTCGGTCATGAGGGCTTCGTCAGTGAAAATAGGCTATACCACGGGATGGTATGAGGTTGAAAAAGGCGTTAGCCAGACATAAATTGAATGACTGATTAGTGATTACCTAAAAAAGTGCAATACCAATACTTACCTTGGAATAGCAGATCGTAAAAACTTGTTTTCTTTCCCATGCTTTGGCAAGTACTGTAGGGACAAGTCTTCCATCCTTTACATAGGAAAGAGAAGCTATCCTTCATGACCCACTTGTAATACCATAGGAGTATATTGTAAACAGTCTTGCCCTTCAGCAAGTGCTAGAGGAATTGGCCCTCCACCACCTAGGCAAGGAATTGTACGCTACATAACCGAATTGTAATACAAATAGTTAAGCTGGGAAGTAGATCCTCAAAAGCCCAAGCTTTTACATAAACCATTGTAATATCAGTATCTGCCCTAGCAGTAAATCGCAAAAATGAAGTAAAGGTTGGGGATGTCCTGGATGCTGGCCTCTACATATTTTGAAGGGTGCATAATTGTGAGTCATAGGCTGTCGTGTATGGATCGGCTACACGACCTACCGGTGAAACGTGTCTAATCTTGTACTGTAGATTAAGTATTCCCAATATTTTTTTTACAGGAGCTAGGTAATGTCCCTTTCTCGCCCATCTGCCTTGGAAAATAGATCCATCTCGGAGGAAGTATGTGACTTGACACCCCTTAACCGTTTTTTCACTTGCATGAAGAGGGCACCCAGTACCTCTGAGCATTCTCCCGTATGGATTTTGTTACTACCACTCATCCTTGACGTGGTTTCTGCCGAGGGTTGTAGACAGTTGGTCTTACTAATCGCCGAGTCGTGACCACCATTGACCAATCATCGGAGATTTCGATAAGTTCACCGACTGGTGCAACTTTCCATAGTCACCCGAAACTGAATCTAGAGCATCTCCAGCTTCTACAGGTCTGTCCCGCAGGTAGCTAAAGACTAATGCCGTGAGGCATGTTCGCTGAATATCGTATGGCTCCAATCGGAAAAGGGTGCTTTAATTGCTAGGGACACCGTCACGGTGACTTCTCTAGTTCTCCAAATAGCGCTATTGGTTCTTTCAACTAAAGAATACGGACTAAGACTAAGTTATCGTGTAGGTTGATAATGCCTTAATCATCGAAGCAGAACTTGCAGCGTTGGTAACAGCTGCATGCCATACGCCGCCGTGGATGACGAGAGTTCTTTTGGATCTGGGACAGACTATACAGGGTCATTCTTGACGAGCATCAGTTAGAAAGACATGGAGAACCTTCGAAAATGAAACTAAGTTCCTTAAAGGTTTTGGCATATGATAAAATGAACTAAAATATTTTCATGATGGCACCACTTCGGCAAATGCCGGAAGTAGCCATTAACTTTGTTATTTTAAATAGCGACTCTCTATGTTTTCTACATTTTAGGATTCTACGTCGAATTTGGCAACGATACCCCATAGTTGACCCTTTGCTCCAAGGGCTTCGTCGATATTCAAGTTTTTATGTCAAAAATTGAATTTGCAGGGATAATTTTAAAAATGTATTATTCGAAAACGGTAAGAGATATTGCAAAGCAATTTTCACGACTTGATTAAGGAAAGATCGACTTTTCTTATGGTATGTGCAACCGTCTAAAAACGTGCGACTATGTCACTTTTTAAACGCCCTAAACTTTAAAATTTTTAAATTTTGCGTAACTCAATTTTTTCAAATGGCACCCACCATTTTTTTCTTCACTGTTGTTTTCCTATTTCTGAAACCTTTCATTTGATACAAAATGTCAAAGGCTGCTTCAAACGGTTTCCGAGATAGTCCATCTTTTAATTACTTTTTGTAGCAAATTGATAAAAAATAAGTCTCTTTGAATATCATTAAGCGATGTAGTTGGATTTGCAGCAAAATAAGCCAGTACAGTTATTTCTTGTTCTTCAGAGTCTAACCACAGGCTTTCTTTTTTGTATTTTTGTTTGTTATTCCTGCAATTTTTGTGGTAATTTGCGCATTGTAGCCTCTGTGGGACGTGGGCCGCGCCTTGTTAGGGAATCTTTCGGAAAAAAACGATAATTTTTCTATCAATTTGCTACAAGTAGTAACTAAAACATTGAATATCTCGGAAACCGTTTGAAGCAGCCTTTAATATTTTGTATCAAATGAAAAAGGAAAACGACAGTGAAGAAAAAATGGGGAGTGCCATTTGAAAAAATAGAGTTACGGATATGTAAAAATTTAAAAGTTGAGACTTTTGAAAATGTGACGTAGTCTCTCACTTTTTTAGACGGTTTCGTATACCATAAGAAAATTTGATTTTTCCTTAATAAAGCATTGAAAACTGTTTTGCAATATCGCTTATCGTTTTCGAATAATAAATTTTTTAAATTACCCCTGCAAATTCAATTTTTGACATAAAAACTTGATTATCGACGAAGCCCGTGGAGCAAAAGGTCAACTATGTAGAATAGGGGGCCCCTATTTAAAATAACAAAGTTGATGGCTACTTCCGGCATTTGCAGATGTGGCGCCATCTTGAAAATATTTTAGTGCAATTCATCATGTGCCAGAACCCTTAGGGGACTTATCAGTTTAGTTTCATTTTCACAGGTTCTCCATATCTTTCTGACGGCCGTCAAGAATGACCCTGTATAAGGGTCCCACAAAGATTTTGGGAGAAAACCAACCCACTATCAGTATTACTACTTTATTCTCAACAAAATCACACTTTAATTTTGAATTTTGGAATGGGGACGCGCTGGCGGGAGGTTAACATCAGGCTACGTCCTACTACTATTCATTATAATGTGTAGCTTATAATGGAAAGCTTTTCCCCTTTGTTACTTCCTATTAATCGAAAACAAGCCATAACAACCAATTGACACAAGCTGCAAGTTGGGTAGACAGATGTCTTTCTTGTTATTATGCAAACTAAAATAAAAGAAATGGCCCGTGTTTACAACGTTTCTAAACCTTCCCCTCTTTGCGCGAATAAAATTTATTATATTTATACTTTAATAATGTCAGATTTGATTTTTCGCTTCACCCTCTTACCTACTTTTGTTGTTTCACCAGGGAAGGTCAATTTGTATTTATTAACGATTTCAATATGGGAGAGGAATTTTGTTTGTAAATCCTTAAATAAATATCGTATCTACAAACAAAATTTTAAGGGATGTAATAATTGGAATACTCGATTATTAGGTGGCGTGGATAAAAGCAGACACAAAGGCAATTTTGGCCATTCACGAACATGTCATCACTAATAATGCACGTTTGTCGGTGACTCACAATGATTATAACACTTGGACCCTTAGTATTCGTAGTGTGAAGAGGGAGGATAGGGGACAATATATGTGTCAAGTAAATACAGATCCTATGAAAATGCAGGTACGTAGCGGAGCGATCCGAAATAGGTTGTTTGATGTAGGTAGTTGTTTTAGACTGCATATTTGGAGGTGGTAATTCCTCCAGATATTATATACGAGGAAACGTCGGGAGATATGATGGTGCCCGAGGGTGGATCCGCTAAGTTAATATGTAAGGCAAGAGGATATCCCAAACCTCGGATAGTTTGGAGGAGGGAAGACGGTGGAGAAATAATCGCTCGAATGGGACCCAGTGGTAAAAGTAGATTGACATCGGTGGAAGGCGAAATGCTCACCCTAACGAAGGTGACGCGTTCCGAAATGGGCGCCTATTTATGCATCGCAGCCAATGGAGTACCTCCATCTGTAAGCAAAAGAATGATGTTACATGTACACTGTAAGTAAACATTTTTAATCACTAGCTTTTACGAAATTGGGCAAGGGAATGACGTGACTCATTCGCTTATTTTCTGAATGCTGATATTAACAAAAATGTAAAATGAACAATTGCTGCTAAAGTACATTTGAATATGGATGCTGCGGGATGCACACGCCACAATAGCCCGGAGTAATGGACGCGCGCCGACAATGCCGACTGATTATAAATATAACCATAAATACAAACGCAGGGTAGCGCGATTTCAATCATTTTCCGACGTGTACGCCAAGCGCCGTCGCTTTTTACCGGTTCAAAATTTACGAACTAAATGAGAGATTTTATGTGATACTGCCGCGTTTACTTATCGAGTAAATATTGCGGAGACCGGTTCGGTTCATTTTCTTCGTAAAACGAAATTTACATTGTTTTAAATCCAACTAGGCAAGGCAAATGCAAGTTGCGACAAAGCGGGGCGCATACTTTAAATACCCAAATAAGTTTTAAAACAATTTCAATTTCCTTTACTTAGGGTATAAGAGTTAACCAGTCAATCATTTTGAGCACTTGTTGTTATCAGCTTTTGGTTGCGCTGCCCGAGCCACAATATAGTGAATAATTCGATCGTGCTCCAAAGTTTTATCGTCGAGGGGGATGAATTTTCAGCTATACATTCACGGCCGCCCTACTCAGGCCGCTGAGTAAATAAACTGTGTAAAGTCTGAAATTGAAAGTCATCTCTTAAGAATGTTGGTGTAGAGGGCACCAAGAAGTCTCCGCAGGCCGATAAAAAGTAAAGTACGCGCAGTTAAACCTATTCGTGCAGGAGTACTTATATTATAGGGTCTTATCTTACTTGTTATGACTCACTGGTCCGCCAGCTCATCCTTCAAGCCGCTATCTCTCCCAGTTCGTTCGCACCTCTTCCGACCATTTCGGTATAATTGTCGTAACTCGATGTTACTCCCATTTAAAATACGTTTGCCTGCGCTGAAATCTTGTATTGTTTCAGTTCATCCCTTAATCCAGGTTCCTAATCAATTGGTCGGGGCGCCCGCCCACACCGACGTTACGTTACAATGTCACGTGGAAGCTTCGCCGAAAGCTATTAATTACTGGACGAGAGAAAACGGTATTAAAAGCTGATTTTATTGTATATTTTATATGAACAAGATGTGCATCGACTGTTCTCCCACATCGACAACCGAAATATCCTGCACACATTTATTTGTGCTCGTTTTGTGCTGATTTGTGTTGGAAGCTATTAACGGAGATATAAAATTCTGGGGTTACCAATGTCTAGCTACCAAGATTTCGCAACTTTTCAGGGTTGAATTCTGCTCGTTTTGCGCTTAAAAATCTTTAAGTGCTAGAGCTTACGTTTAGTATTTTGATGCAAACCGAGCTAGTACAGACCAAAGTGAACGACGTGTGTCTCAACAAACCGCCATTTTCATCCCTTTGTGGATTCAAAATGGCGGCAATAAGAAAAAGAGTTTGTAAGGGAGGCTGTCATATATTTTGGGTTTGAATAAAGTGCACATGAAAACGATTTCGATATTACACATAATTGTGAGGCTTCCTGTTTCCTAGGTTTTTCGGCTATAAACTCATGCAGACCATTTTGCTCCTTTAAACCGTAACGGTTAATGTAACAATGCTGGTTTAAAGACTAGCGATATACTCCAATTCAGATTCACTTGGTTCACAGATTGACTGGCTATTCCTTTTTATTCAATTTTATATGATTTTCTGGTATACCGGAAGTTGGCTGTCCCTATTTTCTTTATTTATACATGTTTAACCACATATTCTCAAAGTGTTCCTTATAAAATATTGTACACTTTGAAAAACTTTTGGGTTGATGGACTCCTGTATCGAAATTAAAACAAAATAGGGTAGGGTGGGTCAACTTCTGGTACGACATAAAGTGGCATAATTTGAAAATTCTTTACCTGACACGGCCTCATTGCATAATTCAGCCATGCAACTTTTCACAAATCGACTCAACTCGTCATTGGACACCTTTTGGAGACTATGTGTTCAGTAGTTACAAGGAGACAAATTATACCTTTTTTTAATGTGTCGTTTTTTACCAAGGGGAAATTGCTGAAAAGGTTATGTACTACACTAAAATATTTTTGACATTAAAATTCATACGTTTTATGTGCATACTTAAAATTCCAGGAATGTTTCTGAAATTTATTTTTTGGGCCAAATCTTTTGAAAGTCGCGATTTGGACATGAAATATCTAAGTTTAGAGCGCGAAAACTGCCCAATAAATATTTTGAAACAGGGAACATTAAAAAGACGTTTTGAAGCTGAGTGTACGATTTGCTAATTCGAAAGTGAAAAAATCAACACAAAAAACATTAAATGCACAGGAAAGTCCCAGATAATTGTACTCCGCTGAAGCTGGGGACAATGAATCTTATAAATATTTATTCCCTGGGGATATTCGTTACTATTTGCCATAGAGGCGAATATGAAAGCGATCAATTTGTGCCATAAATTATTTTTATTTTCTCTTGATTTATTGTTGAAAATGGGGTTAACAGGGAAAAACATTTCTTCAATTTAAAAACAGGCGATTGCTGGAAGTTTTTTTAGAAAACCCACCTGTAAATCATACCTTTCTTCTTGACAAGGAATTATGGCCAAGAATCTTCTTAGAAAGCGTCCTCGTAATTTTCCAATCATTTTTAATGGGAATGTTTAAAAAGATTTTCGTCTTTTCATTAACGTCCACCTAAGAAACTTTTTTTAGATTACTTTCCAAATCTTGCGACAAACCTACGAAAAAATCTTAGAATTTGAACAAAAAATTCTTGGGGTTTTTGAAAAAAAGTTTTCTGGGACGTTTTTGTAAATATTCTTAGTAGTTTCCTAAGAGTGCCTTCTTGGAAGTGTTTTCAGGAAACAACTTCGAAATCTTAGCAATTATCATAGAAATGTTTTTGAAGAGCGTATCTTATTGGAATTAGTTCCTATGACGGATTTACAAAATCTTGCAAGAGATCGTGCAAAAAAACTATTCTGGAATCTTAATAAAGTTGATATTTAAAAAAATCACCTCGTGATTTGGCACGAGTGTGACTGTACAAGCTGATGGTTATTGGAGAAGGATGAGTGTAACGAAACGCAATGCCATAGGATCTATAAGGCGCTTGAGAGGGAAAAAGAGGTTAGAGGTTAGTGATAGATCCGAACGGTTTTAAAATTCTTGTTAAAGATATAGAACATAGAATAGTTCAAACCTCAGTGACAATTACGAATCACTATAACCTTAGGAGAAGGGATGTACTGTATATCGTAGGGTAATTTGGTTATCGAAAAATTTTGTTGTCTTCGATGCGGCTAAATGTTATACAGCTAAATTAGTGCCCAAATAATTATGTAGGCCCTTTTATTATACACTTAAATGTTTTTGAAGATCATAACTTATTGGAATTAGTTCCTAAGACGGATTTACGAAATCTTGCGAGATCGCGAAAAAAAATTTATATATAAAATGTATATATAAAATTAATATTCTGGAATCTTAAGAAAGTTGATATTTAAAAAAAAATCATTTTGGAATTTGGCAAGAGCGTGACTGTATACCCTGATGGTTATTGGAGAAGGATGAGTGTAACGAAACGCAATGCCATATTTCTATAAGCCGCTTGAGAGAGAAAAAGAGGTTAGAGGTTAGTGATAGATCCGAAAGGTTTTAAAATTCTTGTTAAAGATATAGAACATAGAATAGTTCAAACCTCAGTGACAATTACGAATCACTATAACCTTAGGAGAAGGGTTGTACAGTATATCGTAGGATAATTTGGTTATCGGAAAAGATGTTATCTTCGATGCGGCTAAATTAGTGCCCAAATATGTAGGACCTTTTATTATACACAACTTTAGGATTTCAATGGTAAATTGTGTTGAGTGAACTTAATGCTTGTTTAGACCGGAGAGTAGTTTTAGTAGAAAAACATTTTTTTACGTAATGAGGGAGGGGGGGGGGGGTAACGTATGTTAGCCTTCCTGCAGGATGTGGCCTATTGCTGCAAAGTGAATTATTAAAGTAGTACTTTATTATTAATTTCCTTGCGAACTGGAAGTAAGTTGCAGTTGTGTCTCCCCCAAATCAGCATTTTATTTAAAGTAGTAGGGTTCCGCATTATTCTAAAGCCCGCGCGCTTAGTAAAAAATTTGGCACCCTTTAGCCCTCTTCAATTTTTATGAGCCCTCCCACCAGAGGTTAGCTATTAGTACTCGTACTCGTACCTAAACGGTAAGTAAGGACAAGGATGGGCGATATTTCAATTCCAAAATAAAAAAGGGGTACGAACCGCCTACCCCCATTGATTTTTACAGTTTAACACTGCAGCACTCGCGCGGGGAGTATTTCAGTACCCCACTGCCTTTTTTGCATGTAATATTTTGGTTGTCGAGACGCGTTCAATCTTCCGGAGTTGGCTATTTGCGATTAGACATCTGTGAAGTGTGATAGTACAGACGCACATATTTTACGAAAAGACAAAATTAGGTTAGACCCAACCACCAGTATCAAAAAGGAGAGCCCATAATGTACTCCTGATAGCTCCAGGACCAGTAGGTGCCGCAAAAAATGCAGATACTGTCCTAGAGTCCTTCTGCTGTATGTGATAAGTGCTCAATGTGGACATGCAAGGAGCATAAAAAAAATAATTTGTTTAAAAGGAATAAGCGAGGAAGATTATACACTTTCAGAATTTCAAAATCCAAACCCTTGAACTGTAAAAAAAGGGTGGTCCAAAAACCGCCATCTTGAATATCTCCCTTCCGGTCTATTTTCAGACAGGCAACAGGATTCAGCGGAGTCAAAATATGGAGAAACCGCTTGTTACTCAATTGTTACACGAAATGTTTCTTGCACGAGCAAGGAGAGCGTTTCCTGAAAAGTGCCGTTGACTACAAGACGTGACGATAACAAACGTCCTGATGGAATGACCTTCGTTCCCTGGACAAAAAGATAAATGCCAGTTTGGGATGGCACCTGCACTGGAAGAGTAATCCGCAGACTATTGAAGAACTAAAAGCTAATTTAAGAACAGAAATTGCTGCTATTACGCCCGAAATGCTGTCAAACACTATGCAAAATGCCTGAAAAGGGGTCGCTTTTTATGTATCTAATGGAGGCGGTTATTTGATCGAAATTATATTTTGAATTTATTTTCAGTAAATGGCATTGAATATCCTAAATAAATCTTGTCAAAATCGGCAGAGAAATAGCGGAGTTATTCAATGTTGAAATAGGGAAGATCTAGATGGCGCACCCTGCACAGACTCTCTCACTTTTAGTTAATGTGGTAGTATTATGCAAATATATTTTGTCTGAAAATTGGTTATCAAATTTAAGCTGAGTAACCGACTTTAAGGTTATGTTTAATCTCTTACAATAGGAATAGATCAAAAGTTAGTACCCTCAATTGATAGGGAATTGTCTGAACTACAAAAAAGGTAGCCTCGCCGTGCTAAGTGGCGTAGTTCCTGTAAAACGCTAAAAACAAAAAATGCAGCTTTAAGAGTTCCTCACCTCCTCCCCTGAGGGGGGTATCAACCTTCTAAAATTTCGGTTTGGGCCAATATCTGTTCAAATAGCTTGCTCACAAAGAGGTCTATGAATAGGTGTAGGTAATTAGAGATTCTGATGTAGACGGCTACGGCAACGAGAGAGTTTAGGGGGGCCGACAAGATAGTTTTTAGTCACCAATTTTTGTAATAGAGTTCCCTTTTAGCTGAACATCTTTTTGAGTATGTTATTTAGTATTTTGATGAGATTAAATCTAGGATTAAATCATCCTCTAATGCGTTTTTTGTCAAATGTAAAAATGCTAATCAATTTGCGGTTTTGTTTTAGTTGTTAGAATGGCGATAGATCACAAGTTAATGCCTAATCGATAGAGGATTTTCTGCACTACAAAAAAGTTAAGCACCCTTTTTTTGATAAAGAGTGTAGTTTTCCTGTAACATGACAAACACTCAAAAAATGCACATTTAGGGGTGGCTCACCCTCCCGTGGCAGAGGGGAAATGTTTGTTTTGGTCCAATTTTATTTGTTGTTGCGCCGTTGACAGAGGAAGTTAAAATTGTGTGGGTTGCGGTTGATAAAAAATTGATTTAAGCTTTCCCCACCTGTTTTTAGGTAAGGGGTTAAATTTGTAAGGTTATTTTTTTGTTCATGCGATGTTATTTTTAGTTTTTCTGTTCGCTCGGCCAGTAATAAAGTCAGTTTTGGATTTGGCATTGCATCCTAAAGTCTGGTAGATACAAGTCAAAGTGACTAAGTTTGAAGTCATAGATAGTACCAAAAATCAACAAATTACGTGCCTGATGAATCGCTAAAAGAGTTTCCAAACACTTAGTTAGAGTGGTTGTGTTTTAAATCAACCTGGTACCATTAATTTGTAATTCCCTGTATCTCCGTTAATATTGACACAGAGAACGTCAGACGCACAAGACGAGCATAATTGAAAACAAGTTTATCGAAAATGTAATTGCAGAGTAAAATTTGTATACCTAGTGACTTTTCGACTCTTGGGTTTGCGGAGAAGAACTTAACGCACTCCACGAACAAAATCGATTAATTCATGTTTTTATGTTTCATTTGAACAGGAGAAATGATCATCTCCAACGACAAATATTTTATGACAGAAATCAACAACTCGTATTACAGCGTTCAGATGCGGCTAGTAATACGTCGCTTCCACAAGTCGGACTTGGGAGGCTACAAGTGCATCTCTAAGAACTCAATCGGAGACGCCGAGGGTAACATTCGTCTCTATGGTAAGCCGGTTTCAAATTACTTTCTGATTTACAGCTTCAAAACTATGAAATGCTGATGAGACTGAGTTGAGAATTGGCGGCGCAATAAAATGAAATTGGATTTTTTAAGAAAATCACTGAATTTTCAGCCACAACTGGTTTTGTATCGAAAGCTGGTTCTGTTACGAGATACTACATGTCTGGTAGTATTTGAAGGACTCGATTTTTCCACTTCTTTTTATTGCGCTGCAAATTTATTTCAATTTCGCCATACTTTTTAAAGTCGGATCACTTTACAAAGCTCCGGAGATAAACTAACGTATAGTTTTTAGATTTATGTACACGCGTGATGGCCACACATTCAATTTGTTTCGTCGACGATCGAGTTTTATAGGAACGTTGTTAACATTTCAGAGATGGAAATACAAGATCAAACGGAGACGGATGAGGAGAGCACGCCAGAGGAAAACACGGAGGAAAAAAGTTCTAATAATCGACTGTACAATGGCTTCCAAGGTTCACTCACAGAAACTGATGATAATAAAGTCACGTCCGACATTGGCGCCTCTTCCTCCAAGGGAGCGCTATCGATACGGGCATCTTATTTCCTATGGTCGGTGCACCTCTTGTTGATGTTGCTATTCTGACGTCTCCGTGTGCGATATGTGAACAGTGCAGTGTGGTGATAATGTGCCAAATCTATTTGTGCTTCGCAATCCATCGCTCTGAATAAAGTATCTGTATCATAAGGATTGTTATAGGAAATATTTCTGTAGTAAGATCAATGTTTAGGCTTTGTTGTTGCTAATTAGAGATCTGCATAAAGGAGTAGCCGTTATTTTTTGATCTTATCGAAGGTACACATACAAATAGGTACTGTTATAATTTTATTACATTATAATAATATTAACCTCTAGCACAATGTTTTAATAATTTGTTAATACTATTATGTTAATAAATGAATAAATATCGACCGCTCTGGTATACCTCAAAAAGGTGCGCGAAGATGACATTTTTTAAACAAGACTTTGATTACGGAAGACGTAACTTTATTAGTAATTATCTCTAAGCGTACGATTCTCAATTACGGGAAGCCGAGTTGAATTCGCGGACGTGGCCTCCATGCGAATTCGGAAGAGGCATGCAATCTCACATACATTTGAGGCGTGAACCGTTCGCATGCTGGGGCCCATCCATTTGCAGCCCGTCAGCCCTTCGAGTACCCATTTGCCACCAATGCTCCACTACATCTATTGCCGCGATCTGGACATTGATAAAATGCCCTGGCATATGTACATTCGTCTATTTCGGCACGCGTGCCGCCGTGATAACTGTGAATTTGTAAAATCTAAGGGAGGTCAACGATACCGGCTAAATCTCCAGATTCACATTTATTTCAAATTGATTTCCTATTAAGTATTCGAGGAATAATAAATTTCAGTTTCGAAGTTTAGCTTTCTTGCAAACTTTTCATGTAACGCGACACCTAAAATCAACTTATAAGTTGTTCGACATACGACTTGCGGGCTCTCTATAGATAGTGCCACGGCAGTATATCATTTCTCGAAGATGTACATCCTGTCGCAGGACTTACCTGTTGAATAGAGTTCGCCATCAGACCCCTCCCCCTCCCCCAAGGTATTAAAGTAATACCTAAAAATTGCTCGCGCGGTTTCGAACAGCCGAACTCTGGATGGAGGTATGTGTATGACAGAGCCATTGTTGATAGACATTAGCGCTACATTTAGAGAAGTAGTGGCATCCGCCTGGATCCATTACAGTAGCTTCCCGATTGGACGCACGCATGGTTCGAGCTTTTAATGCTCTAAGTCGAGTTCGTCGATGCTACGTGGAACAGTCATAGCTGGGCCCCAGAGGATATGCAAACAAGCCGAGATCGATTTATCGTCTTGTAACCGGCAGAAATAATGTGATTCAAAATTAAATTTCCAACCCTTGTTCTGGCATGCGAATGATGGCACGCTGCTGGCCGGGGGGCAGGGTTGCGACAAGAGGGGCGCGTGCTTTCCTAAATCTCTCGACGTAACGTAGTCTGGACACAAACTACAGACTATTTTCACATTGCGCTTTCATTAACTGATTCTATTGTCAAAATTGAGTACATTTCACCTATGACTATAATATCGATCGCTACCCCCTACCTAACATGACTTTCATTTTCGACGAATGTGACGAAATGGTAGAACGTCAAAACGAGTTTTACTACAAATTCTTCATAATTCTAGTCTGCTTATTAACATCGGGACCTTTTCGCTCGGAAACTTCAAGAGCGTGTGTTTTTGGATTTAATAAATGTTATCTACATTCTATGCATAGTTTTAACAGTCAATTTCTATTTGCAAACGGGTTTTCATTGTGTTTTGCGCAAACGATCTGTTAATCTTTATGTCTTTACGTTAAACTCCCATATTTATTTTCAAGCACCATTAACTTATGAGTGTTACTTGGGCTCTTATAAATTATGCAAAACTTAATTTGTCAATTACTTTTCATACAGCGAATCTGAAGCTGAAAGGTTTACGATTATACTGTTCCAACTGGTAAGTATCTCTACGTTAAAATTTAATTATAGCCATATATCATGGTTAAATCTCAGTAAATATTTTTGATGGAACCGTCACATTTTCAACGCAAGGTAAGGCCATAGAATAAGCTTTTTTAAACAAAAGCGCTTTCATACAACTTACATGTAATTTAGTTTATTCGTTTTTGCCTTTACTTCGCTCTACTTCTGAATTTTTTAGGGATTTTTTAATTTAAGCTGCTATTGTTCCCGCACGATATTGAATATTAGCTGTCTCTAATACGTTGTTCCCAAACAGAAGACCTAAACGATTAATTGATAAACGGAATTATAACAACGCTACCTTTATCTACCCGGTGGAAAACTAGCACGTACCCTCCCCCTCATCAAAAATGTCTGTAATTAAACGATGTCCCTTAATTTAGCTTCTCATATTATAAGGTCTTAAGCATTCAGATATCATATACGGTTAGACATCAAGCATTATGTCTGCTGCAAGGTACACTCAATGTAAACTACTCACACATTTCAATTACCGATGCAATAGACTCGGGGCATAATTAATTTACATAAAACCATCGTACCAGGCATTGCCATTAAATGACTTGTCAATCTTCATTTTCAAGACAGCTTTCAATGTAAACATTTTCTGCCCGGATTTTTGGAAATCACGATTTAGTTTAAACAAGTAGAAAATGCCCGAAGCAGATGCCAATGGAAAATTTCCTTTCGCACACTTTTTGATGTCGCACCTCTCTCACATGAGTTGTAATGCAAAAACATACAAAACATGAAACACAAAACAGGAAAACTTTTAAAAAATGCAAGGGTCGAAATTTGGAAACATTATTATATACAGTGACATCTCAAGTCTAAAAAAACACGTCAACTTAATTGGTGAGTCTCTTTTTGTTATTTTATTAGCGTATTTTCCTCAAAGTGAAAAATCGTTATTGGCTGCACTTTGAAGTCCGTCCGTCCGTCCGTCTGTTCGTCACACGTACTCCTTCTAAACCACTGAACCGATTTTGGCGATATAGGACTCATTTGAAAGGGCTTGGTCCAAGGTCCGTGCATACTCCTATTTTTTTGGTTTTGCGCATGCGCAGTGTCACAAACTTGGTTTAACGCATGTGCAATGCTACCTTTTTTATTTATGAAGATATTTAAATGAAACTTTATATGTAAACACTACGAATATAAGTAAAATTAACGACTTTTTCAAAATGTTGTTACAAATCTAACACCAGATGCAAAATTTGGTTTTGCGCATGCGCATTGCCAACTTCCTTATTTAGTGAAGCATTTAAATAAAATTTAATACATAGGCACTTGGAATACAAGAAAATCTAACAACCAGTTTTAAAATTTGGTTTTGCGCATGCGCAATGACAACTTTCTTATTTATGAAAGCAGTTAAACGATATATCATATGTAGGCACCTTGAATGAAACTAAAACCAACACCGGTTTCAAAATTACTGTTAACGCATGCTGTACGTTTTATTTATGAAGGTATTCAATGAAATTTCTAATGTAAACAATGCGCAATGCTATTTACGAAAGCATTTCTAAAAAGTTCCATATGTAGACACTTCGAATAAAAGTAACACTAATGCCAATTTCAAAATTTGTATGTATTTGTATACGCTCCACTATTTTTCATTAAACTGTATCGACTCCGACGATAGGCGGCTCATTTGAAAGAGAATGGGGTAAGGATCTCGTGTCTACCGGTATTTTTTCCTGGTCCTAGCATTAATATTATTAGGAGGAAAATACGCTCTGGTCATTTACGTTTGCATAATGGCTTTTTAACCTGTTTGATGTGGGTACTCTCCTAAAGCGACTAGGTATTATATCAATTAACAAAACGCATTTTTTTTACATTGAGTCGATTAAATGCGAGTAAAGTGCAAATATTTAATTAAATTTGCCTGACAAGTGCACGTTTGTTGATATTCAACTGCACATTATTGGAATAGCGTTCTACTGTATTTCCACTATAAGAGAAAACTCACTGTATATAATATGATTACAATACCCCTTCTGTAAGGCCCCGTATATGACTTATGGTGGTTATTACGCATTCGTTTTATTTTTTCAAGACAAAATAAGCGTAAGAAAGAATCACATTGAAGCATAACAAGTGGATTATTTCTAATTAACAAGTTTAGGAATATGTAAAAGGAAGATAATTAATTTCATCTTGAAATTTAATTTACTTCGAAAAAATTGTTTACGTCGAGATTCTGCTTATGATGGCCCTACATTTATGTAATTATTTTTAAATTTATAGATTTTTACCGATGGTTTAATTTCTCGTTTTGCTTATCTTTTCTCTTTTTTCTATAGATTTTCGACACAAAACTGCACACACTTCTTTTATTAAAAATCAGTGATTTGTCTGTAACACTTGAAATAATTCTGTGGATTTTATCGCACATATACCTACATTACTTTTCAAAAAGCACTTAATTTGCCTGTAACCTTTAATGTGACTGTCCAAGAGTGAAGGTGTGGTCGATTGAACAGGACAAACGCCCTAATCTACCAGGAAAAGTTCTATGGTGTTCAAAATAAGAGTCTGAGGTGCAGTTTAGGGACAAGACATCAACCGTAAGCAGTTTTGGAATCTACGGGCCAAAATCTATAAGATAATAAGCCTTTGACCGGTCAATTTCGGAGAAGCCATTTTTTTGGAACGTATTTATAGGAAAGACTAGCTTTTGCATTTACACCGAAAAACGACTACTTTCCAATTAACCGGGAAAAGACTTTTTCTTATAAATTTTGGTGCGTAGAATCCATAGAAGCCATTTTTTTGGAACGTATTTATAGGAAAGACTAGCTTTTGCATTTACACCGAAAAACGACTACTTTCCAATTAACCGGGAAAAGACTTTTTCTTATAAATTTTGGTGCGTAGAATCCAAAACGTTTCGTTTTTTATCGAATACCCTACATCAAAAGTTATTCTGATTTGAATTTTCAAAGAAACGTGGTTCTGCGTTGACTGAAGCAAAAAGCCACGCTATTCCTGTGCAAATCCTATTTAAGGCGACATTCTTCTTCCGAAAATCAAAATTATAACAACCAATCATTACACAGTTGACAACAGAAACTATCCCCTCAACTTACGTTAAAAGCCCAAAATAATAGAGGCCGAATAATTTTACTAAACATTTTTTATCAGACATTAAGAGACTTAAATACTAGGAAAAATAAAAATTCATCTCTTTTAACTACACAGAAAAGGCGATAAATCATATCCACCTGTCAATTAA